CAAACAGTCTAGCTTCACTATCTCAAAGCTAACTGTTCTGATCTATAGGGCGGCGTCAGCCATGTCTTCGTCAATCTGGGATCCGACCATCCCTCGATCCTCGAAGCCATGGTAAAAGGCCAGAAAGAAAAGAAAGACCAATTCCCTACAATAATCACCTGTCCCAATGAGGTACGTCCATCATCCGGCCTACAACATATCCCCGACTAGTTGCATCTCGACCGGGGATGGAACCTTACGAACCCCGCTGAACATGTGCACACGTATAGATGGTCGCACTCTCAATGGCAGACGGCTACGCCCGCTTAACCGGCAAACCGCAAGCAGTGATAGTACACGTCGATGTTGGCACGCAAGGATTAGGAGCAGCAGTGCACAACGCCTCGTGTGGACGTGCCCCGGTTCTAATCTTTGCTGGTCTATCGCCTTACACGATCGAGGGCGAGATGCGAGGCTCCCGTACGGAATATATCCACTGGATTCAGGATGTACCAGATCAGAAACAGATCGTCTCTCAGTATTGTCGGTACTCCGGCGAGATCAAGTCTGGCAAGAACGTTAAGCAGATCGTGAATCGGGCTTTGCAGTTTGCGACTAGTGACCCGAAAGGTCCTGTCTACCTTGTTGGTGCTCGCGAGGTTATGGAGGAGGATATTGAGCCATATCAATTGAACCAGAGCGTCTGGGGTCCTGTTTCTCCGGCTGCATTGCCGAGCTCTGGTGTTGAACTGATTGCATCTGAGCTTGCGGCTGCGAAACAACCTCTTATTATTGCTGGGTACAGTGGACGGAAGGCTCAAGCAGTGACAGAGCTGGTGACATTGGCGAATAACTTCAAGGGAATCCGCGTATTGGACACCGGTGGTAGTGATATGTGTTTCCCTGCTAACCACCCAGGCTGGCTGGGCTTGAGATATCCGGGGCATGACGTGGTCGGAACGGCAGATCTGATTCTCGTTATTGACTGTGATGTCCCCTGGGTTCCGACACAGTTCAAACCGTCTGAATCGGCGAAGATAATTCACATCGATGTGGACCCTTTGAAGCAGCAGATTCCGGTTTTCTATATCCATTCCATGGCAACATTCCGTGCGGACTCTTCTACCGCACTGAAGCAGATTAATGACTATGTTGCTGCCCAGGGGTCTTTGCAGAAGTTCATTGGATCAAAGGAGAATATTATCATGGGACATTGCCGGGATGAAGAATACTTGAAGCGCCGACAGGAGATCGCCGATCTGGCCGTTGTTCCTGAGGGCGGTGATGGAGCCTCCTTGAATATCAATTATCTTATGGCACAGGTCCGCCAGGGTGTTCCAACTGATACGATCTGGGCCATCGAGGCTGTAACCAATTCCCACTGGGTTGCAGATCAGGTTTCAGCCACATTGCCCCAATCATGGATCAACTGTGGAGGAGGTGGACTGGGTTGGTCCGGTGGAGGTGCACTTGGCATCAAGCTGGCCAGCGATGTGCAGCATGGCGGACCCGGAAAGGGCAAGTTTGTCTGTCAAGTCGTCGGAGATGGCACGTTCCTATTCTCAGTCCCTGGATCTGTTTACTGGATTGCTCGCCGCTATGGAATTCCCATTTTGACGATTGTGCTGAACAATAAGGGCTGGAATGCCCCTCGGCGAAGCATGCTTCTCGTTCATCCTGAGGGGGACGGATCCCGTGCTACCAACGAGGACCTCAATATCTCTTTTGCGCCTACGCCCGACTATGCGGGAATTGCTATTGCTGCGGCGGGTGGTGAGGTCTGGGGTGGTCGTGCAGCCACTGTTGCTGAGCTTACACAGAAGCTTCCTGAGGCTATCCAGAGTGTTTTGAGTGGGAAATCAGCGGTGTTGGAAGCGCAGCTTGATGGGACCATTGGGAAATATGTGGAGAAGTCATAAGTATTAGACAATATACTCTGTTTTGTGTAGCTGCAGCTCTATACAGGCAAATAAATGGAGACTTCACAACTGTTGTTTAGTTGTGGTGGCAGTTCTTTACTTCCCAAAGCTTATCGCGCCGATGCCGGCGATAGCCTTATCTAGACGCGGGGCGTGTTTTGGTATTTCCGTATTATTCTCCAATTCGTCACCATTCCGCCGACTGTATTGTAATACTAAAACCGCGCAAGAGCCCCGCGCCCAACAATTGACAAGCTGTTGGTGGCATTCAGTGAAGTCTAACTATAACCCTGTTTCTCCGAATACTCCGTCATTAGATAACAGAAATATATACTTCGTGACTATTTAACTATCCCCAAGCGGACTCATCGGAGTGTTCGGAGTATGAGTCATGTGCCGAGTGGATAACGTTAAGATAAAAAGAATGCCGAGATCAGTTCCTCGGATATCGCCAATTCTTTGCCTCCTTGACACTTGCATTGTTTTGATCTCTCGAGACCTACGGCTCTGTCCTCGCACGCAATAGCACGACACTCCGACGTTTGTGCGCATAGCTACCCTCCACTTATTGTCGCACATAAAACGCCGATTCCGCTTTTGATAATTACACCGCTCGATTACAATGAGTCCCCCAGCACCTCTCGATGTCGACCTCGTGGCCGTCACTGATACCACTGCCGTCCCTGTCCCTGATCCCTTGACCGTCAATGGCATTTCTGCATGGAGAGCGAAGACGGCAAAGATGCCCACTGGCGTGGCCGCGGCATGCAGCAGTGATATGTTTAAGAGTCCGGTATGATACCTCCAGATTAGACGGAGATGGGAGTGAGGGATATAAGACCAGAGTGCTGATATGTGTTTTGGTTCACTAGATCTGCTATACCAAGCCCAAGGCCAAGCGGTTTGACCGTAAGTCTAACTATTCTGATGAAATGCCGGACGCCATATTTTGGTCAATAGATGTTCATTCATACTGACTTGTTCTCTTGCTTAGACCACTTTTCACTGGAAGCCAAGTCTCGCAAGGTGCGCACGCTTAATCGCGTAATTCAAAGTCCCCATCGCTAATGCTCTTCCACAGCCTTCAACTTTGAAGACTGCCGCTAGGTACTTGAAGAACCCTGGTGAGAAGAACAGTTTGTCTTGGCTGAACCTAAATGCTAATTATTATTTCAGGCCTTATCTCCCTTGGTGGTGGACTGCCCTCGCCCGAATACTTCCCCTTCGAGCACCTTGATATTAAGGTCCCCACTCCCCCCGGGTTCTCCCCGGAGGCTACTCGCGAGTCTGGCACCGTGCTGCGCGCTGGAAAGCATGATATCCAAGATGGAAGCAGCACATTCGGTGAGTATCGTGAAGTTATATGTATAGATATTGCGCAGGACTGATTTATATTGCGGACCTGGAAATTGCGCTTAACTACGGCCAAGCTACCGGTGCTGCGCAATTGCTTCGTTTTATCACCGAGCACACAGAAGTAAGTGCAATACCATCTTCAACAACTCGGTGAATACTAATAAAATCAGCTCATTCACAAACCTCCCTACTCCGACTGGCAATGCACCCTGACAGCCGGTAGCACCTATGCTTGGGACACCACTCTGCGCTTGCTCTGCGAGCGTGGCGACTACATCATCATGGAAGAGTACACATTCGCCAGCGCAGCTGAGACCGCATTCCCTTTGGGCCTGAAGGCCGTAGGCGTCGCAATGGACGAGCAGGGTCTCCTCCCCGAGTCTATGGACGACATCCTCAGCAATTGGGACGAAAAGGCCCGTGGTGCCCGCAAGCCATTCGTACTGTACACCATCCCAACAGGCCAGAACCCCACTGGCGCCACCCAGTCCGCCGAACGCCGCCGCGCCGTCTACAAGGTCGCACAGAAGCACGACGTCATCATCGTCGAGGACGAGCCTTACTACTTCCTGCAGATGCAGCCCTACGTCGGTGAGGATGCCGAGCCCGTGCCTCCTCCTGCAACCCACGAGGACTTCATCAAGTCTCTTACCCCGTCATTCCTCAGCATGGACGTTGATGGCCGTGTCGTCCGTCTCGAATCCTTCTCCAAGGTCGTGTCGCCCGGCACGCGAGTTGGCTGGATCGTCGCCTCGGAGCAGATCATCGAGCGCTTCATCCGTAACTTTGAGACCTCTTCGCAAAACCCTAGTGGTATTTCTCAGATTGCTCTCTTCAAGCTTCTAGACGAGCACTGGGGTCACTCGGGATACCTGGATTGGTTGATTAACCTGCGCATGTCGTACACTGCTCGTCGTGACTCGCTCGTTCACGCTTGTGAGAAGCACCTGCCCCGTGAAATTGCCCACTGGGCTGCCCCCGCGGCAGGCATGTTCGTAAGTTTCCCACTAACATTTTCTCCGCTTTTAATCTTACCATATTAACCCGCTGCTTAGCACTGGATCGAAATCGACTGGCACAAGCACCCCGGCATTGCGGCCGGCAAGACCCACGCCCAGATCGAAGAGGAGATCTTCCTGTCCGCCGTGGAAGCAGGTGTCCTCCTTTCCCGTGGTAGCTGGTTCAAGCCTGACCACGACACCGTCGAGGAGAAGATGTTTTTCCGTGCTACATTTGCCGCCGCCTCATCGGAAAAGATTGATGAAGCGATTTCTCGCTTCGCGGGGTCTCTCCGGAGTCAGTTCGGTCTGTAAGTCAAGAGTGACTATATGTCTCCCTTTTCCTTACGACCGAGTCAGTAGTGGTCTACGATTTTGACGAATCTCCCTCTATTGGACGAGGGTGCATTGATTCATTTAGTTTCGGGTTCTAGATGGTAGACTTGCAGTTTTCAAAAACGTGCTTTGATAGCTCCCTTGAAGGTCGCCTTTAATGATATTTTAAGAATATATTTCACTTTTCGGTATATTGGCATTTCATAGCTACGGATTTCCTACAAATCTCTGATCTTCGACCATGATGCAAAAGAAAAGGACTTTTATGATTCATTGATGTAATGTAATGCAAATGTACAAAATAAAATTGGTATCAGGCAACGCAGACCGACAGGAAGTAATAATACAAGATAAAAAAAACCAAAGCCGCAAGGACAACGACTGTCACGAAGACCAGTAAACCAAAAAGAAATCAAGCCCCCAGAATCTTCCCATAAGCATCCTCAACCTCCTTCGCAATCTCCAACAAAGTAACAATGATAATCTGATGCGTAACATTCGGCAGCTTATCCCTCTGCAACCCAATCCACTCCAAAGGCGGCGTAGCCTCACCCATATCCCTTAACTGCGGCGTCTCAATAACAGGCGGCTCAAGCGCAGTATAAGTATACTTGGACTGCGGCACATTAACAACAGCTGTGATCTTCTCCTGCTGCTCAGAGCTAGCACCACCGCCCTCGGCACTGCTACCAGGCCCACCAGTAATGCGCACAGCAGAGGGAGGCAGTGGCTTCCCAAGTCTTGAAGCGAGCGCGCGCGAATGCGTTTCCCACATATCCCGGATAAAACTGATGCGAGAGTAATTCCAGCCAACATCGACTTTGCCTTCGAATGTGCTGCGGAAGATGTATTCAATCTCGTGGGTTCCGGGTGCTTGCCAGGTTTCCATGCTGGCGACGAGACGGGGTACTTTGAGGATTGTTCCGCCTCGAGAGGCGGCGGCTCGTTCGGCGATTTCGTCGACAGAGAGTTCGTCTAGCTGTGCGGAAGTTGGTCGTGTGATACCGGATAGGGCGACGCGAAGTTGGCCTAGTGTTAAGCCTAGGGCACTGTGGATCTTGCCTGCTTCGAGGGAAACGGCAAATCGGGCTTCGGCGTCGTAGGCTTCTACCTTGAAGATTTGGTTGTCGAAGAAGGTGCTCGGGAAGGCTCCGACGTTGACGTGGCGGATGTTGACTACCACGCCCGTGTGTAGGGATATTGGTGCTTTCTCTGGCTGGTCGTCGGGTTGCTTTGCTAGGTCCTTGGCGCCGATATCCGGGCGTTCGGTTAGAACGGATGATTTTCGGCGGAGGTAACGTTCCACGTCGCGTAGGGATGCTTTGTAGGCTGCTTGGACGTCTTGGATTAAGCGTTGCCAGGCTTGGAAGAGAGCTAGGGCTTGTGATGCCGTTAGAGACGTGCAGAACAGTTGGAGTTTGTCTCCTTCCAGAATACTGAAAAGGCGTTGGCTCTGTTCGCCGGATGTATCTCGGACGTTGTACATCAAGAAGTTGAACCTGGCAATGTGGGCCACCAGGAAGGGCTGGTAGTCGAAGGAGACCTTCGCTTGGAGGTGACGGAAGGCAAGCGAAGCTTGGATCAACGGTGTTTGTCCAGGTTCTCCAGATACTTCAGGCCATTCGATTGAGGTATGTACTTTAAGGTTTCCGAGTTCGACAACTCCACTCATGCGGCCCTTGCTCTCGATCGCAACAGAGCCGAAATTGACACACATGTTCTGCTCATTGTCAGATGTCTTGCTAGTAGACACCCACAGGTCCTTGATACCGAACTGTGCCTTGCCCAAAGTCGAGCCAAGGTCCAGTTGGATTTCGACCTTTTCAATCGCGATGGTGGTGTTCCAGGGGAATGCCGATGCCGAAGCAACCTGCTGATATCGCTGCACGATGTAAGGCTGCGCTTCGGACGACTCCGGCTGGGGAGTTGGATTTGAGGCAGGTTCATCATTGGACGGAAGCCAGATCTCTTGGAAGAGGAGAGAATCATGGACCTGTTTGGCGTTGACCGCGACCTTCATTGGGCTCACTCGCAAGATAGCTGACATTCCGCTCATCCGGCCAAGATGCTTGCTGTTCATCAACGACAACACCATTGACTTGACTTCAAAGCTTGCCGTTGATTCATTGGAGTAGACATGTTTCACAGAAGCGGACAGGCTATTGAATGCCAACGACAGAGCAAGGAATCGACCCTGCTCTTCTGACAGGACCGTATTAACGGTCACGTAGACACTCTCAAACCGTGCGGTGGCTGCTACCCTTGCGATGGGTTGACAACTCAAACTGAACTCCTGCTTGCAGAATAGTAATCCTAGATTCACCCTGCATCGGCCAAGAATGCTGGTTGGGTCCTCAGCATCGAATGGTGCATCTTGCATCAACTTCTGTGGCTGCAACTTCGCGGTTGTAGATGCCCTACGAGGCTGGCTCTGCTGACACTGCTGGTCTCCCATAATCTCCTTCACCGTGGCAGTCATTTGTTTGACTAAGGGGACAAGAGTAGGATATAATGTGTTTGTAGAGGGGTCAACCTTTAACTCAGCATTGAGTACTGGATCATCGGTACCATTATCCTCAAATTGAACCTTCAGAGCCACTCCGGGCGCCTGGAGTGTTGCAGTGGTTGCCGTATCACCTTGGACATATTGGCCATATTTCGCATCGGAGAGCCGGCTGCCTTTCCATGTGGCCGCGAGCAATGTTTGGTGATCATGGCCAAGCTTGCCTTGAAGTGTAACAGTAGCACCGGCAAAGTCAACATCAATGAGAAGAGACCGCAATCTTCTCTTGCCGAAAAGGTTGCGGTCTTTGTTGGTATCGTTGTTGTCGGGGGACGATGCTCTGGCTGCCCAGACAGTCTTCCCTTCCCGAAGTGCCTCGCTTGCTGTAGCAATCGAGTCTCGCAACATGCTGGCCGGGATGATAAACTCCGATGTCGCACGGATATCAAGGGATTTACCAGCTGCCTGGAAAGCAAGCCACAACTCTTTTCCTTTGGATGAGTACGCCACGTTGAAAACTAGTTCGGGCATAAGCGCAGAATTGAGCGACCGCTTTCCCCTGTCTGCTCCATATGGGACCATCTGAAGTTGCATGTTTTCAATCCGAAGTTTGGCTGCATTCTTCTTCTTGTTCGACAATTCAACTTGCTGGATTGAGAAGACCAAGTCCTCTGGGTTTCGGCCGGATTTGCTGTACGTCGTTGCCATGTTCCAAGCAACCTGAATATGCTGGAATTGAAGGGAGTAAAGAGAATTGAGGAAGGTCTCCGGGGTGGAATCATCGTTGACATGGATCTCGGGGGCAACAGCACTCCCATCTTTCGTGTCGTGACCACGATGTCTCAGTTTCCTAAGACGCTTGACTTCATGGGAAAGGTCTAGCGTCTTAATGCGCTCTTGGGTATAGACGGCAATGTCGACAACGAGGGCTGCTGTCTCAGCAAATAGTTCGATATCGAATCGGTCACTAGTAAAGTGGTAGGATCTTGTGACTTCACCATTTTCGCGGACTGCGGATGTTCCCTGCAGTTTCACTCCAGCAGAGAAGCCACCATACGGGAGGCTCTTAGACTTCTCCTGTCTGCGTAGTTCAAAGTTTATTTGAGATGCGTCAATGTTGAATTCAGGATACTCCATGGCGTAGCCTCTGTCTAGGCCGTTTTGGAGTCGCATCCGCATCATACCAAGGCTGAAGATCATTTCCGCAGAGTACTCCTTGCTATTCAGGCCAGGTGCAGAAGCATGGATCTCAAATCCAGCCAATGTGAGACGACACTTGTAAAGGACCTCTTGGCCATCGGACACTGGCTTGGGCTCGGGCTCTGGTGATGACTTCTGCAACGCAAGTACATCTTCCAAGTGTGATTGGAGAACGTCCACATTCTGCTTGAGATCCGAGATCAAGTGGGAAACATCCGGTCCTGTCAAGACAGCCAAGAGACTGCGCACGGCGCTGGCTTCCAGGCGAATAAGTTCAATGGTGACATCAACCTCCACTTCCTTACGGCCAGACAAGAGGTTTGCAAGCACTCGGCCGTTGACTGGAGGAATTTCCATAATCGACAGAGCATAGAATCTGTCCCCTTCACCTGACAAGAACATATGAGTGTTCTTTTTCACATCGAAGTCAACCTCAACCTTTGAGGCTTCTGTGGGCATCACCGACATACGAGCAACGTCGCCTGAAACAAGGTAAGCCAAGGATGGCAGCAGACTAAAGTTCAATCGGTAATCTTCCAAGAACAGTGCCACATGGAAGGTATCATGAACTGGCTTGTTTGGCACCAAAATCTCGTCGGGTTGCGACTTGTTCGGGAGTTTGACGCTATTCATTAATTGTCGGATGTACCTGACTTCGTCGGCGATAAGTCTATCTGCTGTGTGTACTAGGCTGAGTGGATCTTCTTTCATGTCATATCGAAGTTTCCTGCAGGAGGCAGCGACCTTCCAGCCTCGTTTGCACTCGGTTTCGTTTTCTTCCGAGGTGAGAGAAAAGTACATGTAGGGATCGGCGATTCCTGACAGCATCAAAGTTGTGGACTGACTTTGGAGCTCGGAAGAGCATGCTTCAGCACTGAACAGCAGGGTGAGATCTTCTTGCTTTGTCTGGACTACACCATGAGACCTATGGACGATTGACCCTCGGAGTGCTTTGGATATCAAAGCGAGCTTAACATTAATGCCGTCGAGTGTAACGGATCCGAAATCAGTGCCGAACATGAGTTGAAGTTCGGTCGGTTTCTCATCTCGAGGGGAGTCACAGGGTTTATGAGCCTGTGCAGACTCGAGTGTGATATTTGACATCACCTTGATCACACCCTCAACAAGATCTAATATCTCCCATCGCAGCCTCAGAGCCGCAGAGCCACAGTAAGACTGTAAAGTGATGATTTTCTTGTGTCTCTCCTCGTTGCCCTCGCGAACAACCTTATCCGGAACGAGGGACGCGAGGGTTGACAGGTTCTCGATGATGAAATCGCTTTCTCTTGGGCCAGGGTCCATAGAAAATCTGAAGGTCTTGATTGTGGATGAGAGGAACATTAAAGGCTCCGCGGCTTCTCGTTGAGGTTCACAGTGTGGCCAGACCCGGCGCATGACATAGCTTTTCGCAACGTGGGCCAGATCCCAAGCTCGCCAGTGATCGAAGCCAGATAAAACTGTTGACTTGGCATTCGCTGGCAAAGAAACGTTGCCACTCGAGAAATTCTGCTCCAATTCACGCTTGCGATTAATAGGCAAGCGTTTGTAGATGTTGCGGATACGAGAAATAATTTTCCACGAGTCATGCTGTCGCAAATGCGTCGAAGCAACTCTGAGAACGTAGGAGATGCGAGCGAGAAAGATGGGGTCCGGTATGCCAACGGCCGATTGAGTCAGAGAATAGATGAGGTATTGTAGACGGATTTTGCTGGATGTTGAAACTTGCTGGAAAGAGGAGGCAACAGAATCAAACATCGTTGTGGCTCGACGAACGAGGAACGCTAAACGCTCCACGGACTTCGCTGATGTGATTGTATTGAATGTTCGCATCTGGAGGTTAGAGCGAACATCGGGCGTAGTCACCAACCAAAAGTTCAGGTATTCTAAGTGGGAACTGAATTCAGCTTTCTCATGAAAAGCATCCGCTCGACTGCCCTCGACGGCAATCGAGAGGTGATCAGCCGCTGCATGGACAGTGACATCTTGCTTAAGGCCTTCAAGCAAATCTCCCTTTTGACGGTGCACGTTTTTCCTGAGCTCAGTCCGCAGATGACGAAGCTCGATGCTATACTCATCTCGGAACTCAATATTCTTGTTGTTGGGAGACTCCGATAGATCCACAAGGCGCAGTTGTATGGCAGGAACACGTAGGGAAACAGCTGTGGAGTTCTTCGGTTGATTCATAGCTTTGTCATAGCCAACAATGTCTGATATCACGTCTTTCTGAAGAGAGTCAATAATTCTAACAGGGTGTTTTGGTTCCAACCCATCCAGCAAGGCAGCTAGACTCAGAAGGAACTCCGGTGTGCAAAAGCCTCGGACACCAAGCGGGAGGTCGCATGCGAGGTTGGTGTATGTCGTTTTATCATCATCAAAACTGAGGAACACGGACTTTGGATTTACAGCAGGGTCGTCAATCGTTGAGGTATTATCGTCATTCACGAACGGCAAAGGAAGCTCCGATGTATCCAACTGAATTTTGTGGTATGAGAAGTGCGGCATGATCCACGGGTTCGCATCTCTTGCAGCAGAGGAGGAAATTGTAGTTCCCCGGGTACCAGGCTGTGTTCCCTCTCTTGATCGGCTGGTATGTGAGGCCCAGCTCGCTTCCCGTGCAGGCGGAAAAGGTCGTGGGTTAGAGTCCGGATCTGAAGCTGCTCCGAGGCTATGTACGGTGTGCATTCTGACACTGTTGAGGCTTGATACTTCTGACTCAACAAGGAAACTCTTGGCACTTTTATTAGGACCGGATCCTGAAACTCCCAGGTAGGACGGCGCATTGAGCGAGCGAGCCCTATTATGAATAGGCTCGGGCATGGAAGGTATAGCCATTGTTGGAGGGAACACGTCGTCGTCAGGAATGGTTGAGGCCGGGCCAGTCTCTTCCCAATCAGAAAGTAGCCATTGCGCTCTGTGAGTTCGTTGGTCATGAATTTTTATATGTTCTTGCTGAAGCCGTCGACGTTCTGCAATATCAGATTTGCGCAATGCCATATTCAATCCGATAGTCGTTTGAAGAAGACCTATGGGAGCCACTGTTGCTCTTGTCGATACATTAGATTGAGTGGCATGGCCACGATCGATGGCGGCAATTGAGATATCTGGGACGAGGAGATTCAGGCGTTTCGAAAACTTGGTGTTCGCCAAATCATTGAAATTCACATTCAGTGGCTGTGTGCTCAGAATGACAGCTACTTGATCCAGCAGTACGGAAATGTGGATTGCATCAATCTTAGCTCTCAAGAAGGTCACATCGTAGAGAACTTCGGGAAACAGTGTTGGCAAAGCATTCTCCTCGTTATCAAAAGAGAAATCGAAGCTCTTCAATGACGATCCCAGGCAAGCCAGGAATTCCGTAGAGCATTCTCCAACGATTTTACCAACGTCAAAATCCCAATTACAGACGTAGGTTGGTTCAAGGGGCGGCAAACCAAACAAACGGTGGCCATAGACCGAGACACCATCGATAAATAGTTGAGTGCCAGAAACGGTCGAAGAGTCATCGGAATGTATGGAATGCAAATCAAGTTTCAGCGGACTGATAGAAAATTGCAAATCCATGTAGTAATTTGTGAATCGTAGATCGACCTCAAGGGACGCTGCGCTAAGTCCAGTGCATTTTGAAGTGTCATAGATGTTCACAGGAAGCAAAGCACATGGGCTGTGGACTATGACACGAACGAGGATGTCCATATCATTTGACTTTCGGTTTGGATTAATTCCTGTGGGATTCGATGGAGTTTCATCGGCGTAGATCAGCTCTTGGTATTCTTCCAATGTCTTGAAATGCATTTCTTCGCCAAAGTAATTCTCTCTGATTGTCATGAAGCTCTTGATCAAAAATCCAAAAAGATACAGCCGAGGTGACTTTCCGTCGAGGTTGAGCACCAAGGTGTCAGTCAATTCGTGTGAAGTCGACGAGAAGTAGTTGTAGGAGCCGTCAATGAACAGGCTTTGAAGGGTAGCCATAGACCTTTGGGGTAGAAACTCGTGTAAAGTGTCCCATAAGGGAGTCACGTAGTCCACACCACCGTCTTCGAGGTTGACCCTGAACTCAATTGCAGTTTGCTCGGGTTGGTACTTGTTCAATGGTATCATGACACTGGACGTCAGACGTTTGCCCTTGATGACAATGAATCGATTATCTTCCAGATCTGAAGGATTGCTGATGATGTTTCGGTCATTCACGTTGATGTAAAGCTGGAAGCCAGTAAAATTGAGATCGAGGTTGTAGATGAAAGGAACAAATGCGTAGTAATCCGAAGGAGGACCCGATGCCCAATCGCTCACGAGATCCGTAAGAAGGAAAATGTGGTCACGGAGAAGAAAGAGCTGCAGATCCTGGCTCTCAACGGTGAACTTCCAAGAGCGGAGGCTGTTCCAGGAAAGTGGGTTGGATAGATCACAGGTGACCAACTGTCGGGGACATTGCCAAAGCAAGCCATGGTTGATACTGGATGAAAGTTTTGACTCTCGAAAGTCAAGAGACAGTTCATTCCGAAATCCTAGGCTTGAGGCCACCATATCCATGGTGTATTTGATAGTAGAATCGGCAGCAACGGAGAGGGAAAGCCACCCAAACGGGCGAATTTCAGGTCCAATGTGACCCTTTTCGCCCTCCTTTGCTCGTGGTTTCTTTCTATCATTTGGCTTCTTAATCCTTGACGCACCTCCAATGGCATCAGCACGACCCTTCCATTGCCAATCCTTGGACTGCTCTCGAGTAGGGATTCGCAGGGTCAACTCTTCGTTGATTTCAATGCGCAAAATGAAGCATGTGCTTTGCCGCAGAACACCAGGTGCCAATTGCTCTGCCGGTTCGGCGCTGCGGTAAAAGTTCGGGAAGAAGACATTTTGCAAGCCAACCCGCTCTCTGTCAGCCCATGGGCCGTAGTTCAGAGTGCCTCCATCAATCTTAATATCAATTCCCCATTCAGGAGGAAAGGCCGAGTTGATATTTCCCTGCACTGGATCTGGATGTGAATGTTCAACGGACGTTGGGCGTTGATGGCTGACTCGCCCAGGAATATCCCAAAAGTACGTTATAGTCAGACTAGAGCTGTCCAAAATGGTGGAAAATCGGGCATATTCCACCGAGCTCCATTTCTCGTGATCGTCTTCATCGGCTTCGTCCAGATACCGCGAAAGACCAGTCCAACGAACTTCAGGGAACTCCGCCTGGCTTCTTGGCATGCTGTCAGCATTTCTGCTGTTGGCATGGAACGATTCGACAGAAGTTTGGAAATAAGGAACAAGGTCACGGATGCTGTGCCACACCTTGCGCCTTTGGAATTGATAGTTGAAGATGTTTTGTCGTTTCTTCTTTGATTTGGGCTCATCCTCATGCACAGCACCTACAGCTTTTGCAGTTGCAGATTGGTTTTGTTTGAAATCGGGGTTCGGCCGCATCTGAACCACAGGGTGGTTAAGCTTAAATGAAAATAGTTGCCGGTATAGATCAAGCGGACCCGAATTGCAAGCATCAATGGTACCCGTTGCAGCGTCGAACGTCGTGGTCAAAACAGAGCGAGTATGTTCGTTACCAAGTACGATGGCACCCTTCTTGCAATCCAGCTTGACTGGCAAGAGTTGAAGCATGTTGGACACTTGGTCCGATAGTTCTGACTCGCGCATAGCTGTCCTCTGAGAGCTCCCTTCCCTCTCACCCATGCTGCGCTCCGACATAGATTTCAAGGTAGATTCGTGATCAGGCGCCTGTTGGAAATCAAAACCATTTCCGGTGCTTCGGTCTTCCGCCGTCGCGCGAGATCCTGGGGGTGCTGAATGATTGTTCAGGTCAACATTCTTGGGCGAGTAACCAAATCCAGCGAGAATACTCTCATATGCCGGAGTCCGATTGTAGACAAACCACTCAAGACCGTAGGCTTTGATTGTTATCCGACAGGGTAGCTCGGTTGTCTTTCCTCTGCCACCTTGCTCTCCAAGACTGTCATCTTCAACCCCATCTGGCGCGGAGCATCCATGTCCCTTTCCTGTGGCATTATGAAGGCCAGTTTTGCGTCGAATTCCCGTCAAATCGTTTCGCTCCACCGTGCGCGTCCAATAACGCCAAGTTATGAATCCTCCATGGATAAAGATTGTCTCGTTCACACCGTGGTATCGAATGCCCTTGAAGAAAATTCGACCGCCGAGTAAAGAGATTTGAAGCGCGTTGATGTCGACATATGCTCGGTAGTAGTGCCAGGTGTATGCTCGAATGGCGTAGGAAAGGAGAGTCGCGAAGAGCCGGTTGAAGTAGAGCAGGAAGAACAACACACTATGGGAACTATCAGTATTGTCCAGCCAAATGAAGTGCGGAAACTCACAGAATGCAAGACACAATCAGTTCAAGCAAGAAGAACCTAAGTCAATCAGTATACTAGCCATCCTCGCAGCAAGTCCGACGCACCAATTGAAGCTCGGATCCGGCGTCAGAAAGGCCGACGTCAAGCTTGTACTGGCCATGTCTCTCCGCCATGGACGCGCAATAGGCGCGAATAAGCCCAAATCAAATCATCGCCATCCAAAATGGCTGTGTTCTGAATGTCGCAAAGTGAAGATGCGTCGGGCGGTGTCAACGCGAAGATCGTCATCCCTCCTCCTTCCAAACCCAACCTTTCTCCAACTTCTCCCTCCCTGTTGACCACCATGTTCTGCCCCTCCTCCGCGGAATGAAATATATCCGCGTTGGCAGTACACGGCTATAGATTCGTGTTTGTCTCGAATTTACATCATGACTGCCGCCGGTGGAGGAACAGGCTCCAGCCTGGCACGCGCGATCATTATCGTCGCAGGTGTCTCGGCTTTGGTCTCCTCGCTGTTGTCCTTTGTGTGAGTTCTCCAGCAATCTAACGAGAGCTATCATTATAGACTTTCAAGCTGACCTTTGATATCAACTCGCAGGTCCATCTGGTTCCAAACGTACGAGTTTCTACCACCCTGTCACACGACTCCATGCTCACAATATATACAGCAAAAACTACCGGAAACCACTCCTCCAGCGCTATGTGGTACGCATATTGTTGATGTTAGTACTGGCTTGGACATTCAGCTTAGGGGGACACAACAATGCTGATAACGCTTAGGGTTCCGATTTACGCGGCATCATCATGGACGAGTATTGTGTCGCTCAAGGCAGCCCAATTCCTCGATCCTATTCGTGACATCTATGAGGTAACTCGTATCCGAATCGTTGGGGAAGCTCATATTAACTGGTGGCTTTCAGGCATTCACCATCTATACCTTCTTCCAGCTCCTTATCAACTTCCTCGGGGGCGAACGTGCCTTGATCATCATGGCACATGGCCGCCCTCCTATCTCACATGCCTGGCCTCTCAACCACTTCCTCCCAAAGATCGACGTCTCCGATCCCCACACCTTCCTCGCTGTCAAACGCGGTATCCTGCAATATGCCTGGCTGAAGCCCATTCTAGCTATTGTCTCCGTCGTGATGAAGGCGACGGACACATACCAAGAGGGCTACATCGGTTTAGGCTCGGGGTATCTCTGGACAGGCATTGTGTACAATGCCAGCGTCACAATTAGTCTCTACTCCCTTGCCATGTTTTGGGTCTGTCTGCACGATGACCTGATGCCGTTCCGCCCGGTCCCCAAATTCCTCTGCGTCAAACTCATCATCTTTGCGTCGTATTGGCAAGGATTTTTCTTGTCGATTCTGCAGTGGCTGGGTGCACTGGGCAGCGTTGCTGGGTATACTCCAGACAACCTTGCAGCTGCAATTCAGGACAGTCTCATCTGTTTTGAGATGCCGTTCTTTGCTATTGCCCATTGGTATGCATTCTCGTGGCACGACTATGCGGACCCCACCATTTCGGCTGCGCGTTTGCCTGTGAAATTTGCGTTGCGCGACTCATTCGGCGTTCTGGATCTGGTTGAGGACACTAAGATGACCCTCCGCGGTGAGAATTATGAATACCGACTCTTTGACTCGGGTGATAACATCATCCCGCATGCGGAATCGGGATCACGGGTAAAGCGAGTCATGGACGGCATGAGATACGAGCGAGGAGGCAAGTCGAAATACTGGATTCCCAAACCGGGGAAATCAACAGTCGCACGCCTCTGCTTGCCGCTGAACCCAGTGAGCGTGGAAACAGAAGCAGTCAAAGCTCGAGGGAAAGATTCCGATCTTTCAGTGAAATTGAAACATCAATGGATGAGGAGGACGAACACTTGTTCCTGAACGCTCGGGCGCTGGAGTTTGGAGACTGGAATGTAAGTTCGCGCCATATAGCCCATTCATGATTGAGATTCTGACCGACAATAGTACCCGGTGATTACCGCCAACGAGGTGCCAAGGGACCAGCGGTTACCGCCGTCAAGGAGCTATCAAGATTCAAACCGAGGTGGGCATGTCAAAAAGGCCCGCAGGCACAGAAAGGGCCGGGCGTCAGACGGCGAGAGCGGGCGAAGCCCACAGCCAAAACCTAATTCGGGCGTAAGCTCGAGTACCCCTGGTCCCTTGCAGCGCAACGCCAGCTCCACAAGCACGAACACGCGACAGAGCCAGCTGGTGGACCTTGTGGTGGAGAATCGAGAGGCTGAGGAGGAAGACCGAGCTCAGGTACAGCGGGAGCTTGGTTCAGCGTATGCTGAACCTGAAACACGGCGATATTCGTAAGTTTAAACCATTAGCTGAGAGATGAAGAATAACACGTGCTAACCCCTGGTCTCAATTTCCAGACGACCCTCAGGAGAGCCAATCGAAGAAGAAGCTGAAACGGACCCAGCAGAGTCTAACTACGACCGTGAAGATCGGTCTAAGGCATGGGCCTATGATGGATTGGAGCAAGACAATGTCTGGGACAAATAGGGTCGTGTGGTCCTTTTCTATGATTTCTGGAATATCTCTAATTTGGGTCTGGTATAGACCTCTAACGTACATATACATCTTCACAAACTGAATTTCCCGTTCCCATTTGAGCTATATTAGTGGTTAAGCCCCGTAGATGGTGAAATATGAAGCAGGTTTGTTCTCATCATCAACTTCGGCCACCAATATGTCCTTCCGAACCTTGTCTAGGTCCATATGTTTCATCCAGCTGCTGTGCCATTCGCCATGCCATACACCTTGTTGGAAACCGACCTTCGCCGCTGTCTTCATTGATAGTGCCACCAACAAACACTGTAGTGCATAGGAATTCCTCTAAACAATGCCTCAGCACTTTTTAGGACTTGCATATATCAGGAGCTGGCTCTGAGGGTATAGAATCCTCTCTCCGGTACCCAATCGTTAAGCATTGGGTGGAAAGGAGGGACGCCCGACATGCGGAATCCGGATCATGGACACCATCGGGGTACTCGATAAAGTAGCCTAGATTTCAAGACATTTGCATATGAAAATCCTCTTCTGTGTCTTGATCTCAAAAGGCCATATCGTTGCTGAAAGTCTCCAAGGTCTCTAGAACCACTTGGCGCCACTCGTCCGTCACGAGTAATGCTGGCTCAACACCGTCTATATACGGAAAGAAATATTTTTGACATCGGCCTATTGAGCTGTGCCTTGATCATCCAAGTAATGCATATAGAAATTTATCCCGTCCAACTTTTCTTCGTCGGCAAGGTCCATTGCTTCGTTAGCTCATCGATTCGGTCCTGGAGAAACTGCCGATTTGAGGCCACCGTTTTGGTGCGGAATCAAGATTCGGCGAAACGCATGGCTTCATCTGCGTCTGCGACGGAATGCTGTGATGTGTCCATGGCTAACAGAGACGACCAATATCTGACTTAGCATAGTGGTTGAAAGAACAGGAAGTTGGTAAGTTAAATAGTCCCCAGCCATGATTGAATAGATAGGCGTCCAGACTACCACACTGGAGCCTGGAGAGCATCACAAATGAGTGCAATAAGAAGAGGAAAGGCTTCAAATTCCATTCGGATGTTCAGAAATTATTTTGAGAGTAGCAAAATCAAGATGAACGAGGGCAATTTCCGTAAGCGCCCAAATCTCATCACCCTAAGTATAGAGTGATAAGCAAATGTGACAACTCCACCGCGCATCAACGAATGGCAACCTCACAACCAACTCCACGGGCGACGATCGTTGGAGCTAAGAATGTTGGCGCCAGGATGTCTTTCTTTCCTGGGATTAGGCCCATGTCCCTAGTGGCGCTATGGTGTGTACCTGGTCGAGTTCGGTAAGGCGATCATCAGCCTGACAGGGCCGTACATGAAGGCCCGTCCCCCAAGGTGGGGGTCTCTTTTTTGTCTTTCTTCTGTTCTGTCTGTGTCTGTGTGCTTATTTTTGCCTGGAAGGCCATGGATTAACGAAGCGCTGGCCGCCATGACGTTGGGTTTGGAGCAAGCTGGCTCGCTATTCACTGGTTGGATGCGATCTTGCTTGTCATGTTTGGTCCCTAACGATGATTGTCAGGGTAATCAGACTGAAGGGCGTGGTATGTGTGCTACGAACTTCGTCAATGTCGTTGTATACTTGCATATGGAGTACTCATTGACATTTTCCAGGCGTCGAACGGGATATGACAGTATGCCATACTCAACCGCATCTAGTTCCTCCCATGAAACTGGTGGTATACGATGACCTCCCCAGCCCAACCATACCCGGACATCAGCATCGGAACTCGTTGTCGTCGTGGATCAATGAAGGCAGGCACTTAGCTTCACGAGCCTCTACTCGCGCGAGCATGTCCATGAAGAGACAATCGACGCCGTTGAAGGCGCCTTTAAAGATCAGCGCGCCTTCGGACTTTCGCAGAGTGCAGTCCTTCCAGCCCTCTCGGTCGACAGCATATCAACCTTTAGAGCTCCGTATACATCGATCAGGTAATCGATTATCGGACCTACCTTCGTTCGAATCCTTCCAGCTTAACGATGGTCATCGCAAGACACTGCCGGCACCCCCGCGTGCCTTAACAGTATCGACCGGTGTACGAGATCGACGCTGCCAAACGGCCTTCGTGGTATCTCGCAAGCCAATTGAGTCTAAGAAACGTCGCTCACTTGGAAACCTAGAGCCGTTGCTCGCCGAACAGCCGATTCGCATCACCAGTGCTCTGATCCCTCACTTCTCGACGGTGACCCCTGTCGAGATCTCTTTCAAGGAGGCGCAGGCGTCATCTCCCCTCCACGGCGGATCTATATCCGAAGGCAACGGCTTGACGCTGAACAACCCATGGCCCAGCCAAGGAGACGACAGCGAGCCCTGGGCGAAAGCATCGCAAACACCCAATGCCTTCAAGGGATTACCCGCAGGATCAGCGGAGACATCACCATCAAAGTACTCTTCAATATTCAAAGACTCACTTTCAACAGCCAGCTCGCAAACAACACCATCTCCAATCTCATCACTCCGTCGACCCTCCATGCCATTCCCAGAAACCAAAAGCAGAATCATAGAGTATCCCTCTCTTTCAAACCGCGTTACTCAATGGATGCACCCTACATCCACCGAGTCCACTCCTTCCCCCAAGCAAATCCCCCCACCCGGGGAGTCCGACTTTACCTGGGAACGAACCCGCACACTGAGCGGCACGACCGTCGCATCCACAACCACCACCATCACCGGGGGTGGCGCAAGAGCCCGGAACAACAGCTCCATCTCCAGTGTCTTCTCTAATGCTATAACACCTCGCACTTCATTCCAAGGCCCTTCAGCGACAACGGACAAGGGTCTGGAAGCTGGGATCTGTCACCCAACTATATTGGAGCATCAGCGGCAGGATCTTCCTTTCTCTGTTTACCACGACGATGAACATACGCGATACCGCGAGACCGGTATTGGATTGGCTTTTTGAATTCTTTGAAGGGGGGTTCAAAGTCTTCGAAGTCTGACTGACTATATCTTTTCGGGGTAATTTGGATTTTGATAATCTTTGTTTCCCTCTGTCTCTCTTTCTATTTCTTTTTCTATAGCAATGTGCTTTTTGATCTTATTGGATATTTGGGTTAGGTTGGAATACCCCCTGTCGATTCTGGTTGGTTTATTTGCTTGCTTTTCGAGGGATAATGTCTACGAGTGTTTACTCGCTTAGGAAGTACTAAATACAACCCCGAAAGGCTGCTTCTATGTCAACTTCGAAAATCCAATGTAGCGTACGGTCTAATAGAGATCTATCTTAGGTAACATTATCCAGTAAGAGGAAATATCTTAAAATTAAACTATAGAGATAAGACTGTCAAGAACAAGGTAAACCCGATTCCCAACTGAGATGTCCAGTCCCCATCAAGTAGCAGTCAACGTTAATTGTACACAAAGTCCAATGGTAGCTATATGCGGGTATCTCAAAGAAGAACAATATAGCATCCAGACAAAATAGGGCACAAGAAAACAAAAAAAGATGAAAAGTATGTACTACAGCAATAAGGTAACCAAAGCAACCAGGCTCAGTCACACTCACGCCCATGCTTTCGCTCAATAAAAAAGCAATATTTCAATCCGTAGATACAATCTCCACTCCATCCGGAGCAGGAGAACTAATAGAGGCATTCTTGCGGTGCTTCTGCATCCCCAGAATCTGCCACGCTCGACCCATCATACCATGACCCAAGCCCTGAGGGAATTCAACAGAGCCCTTATGAGCATGTTTAGAAACACGATCGCGCATTGCGCGTTCCTGCTTAGCGGCAGCCAGACGGTCCTGCTCACGCTCGTGGTTGACGATCTCATCACGCCATTCAGCCCAGTGCTCGAAGTTCTCGCGTTGCTGGAGAACCTGGTATCGAAGACGAGTCTTGGATGGACGCCATGCGGTGCGGTTGGCGGTGCTGTCGTCGCCGCTGGCCGGGCGAGTCATTGTGGATTTGAGATCGGGGACGTGTGACTCCTTGGTTAGCTTCAGGAGATGGGACATTACATCTCTGCTTTCGAGGGCGGTGCGTCGGATCTTTTCTTCTTCTGGTGTGGGGTTGGCGCGTGTGAGGGGCATGTCGAGCCAGGCGTGCATTTCTGTTGAACGCTGGACGGAGTATGGGTCGAGGATGTTTGAGCGGCGGTTCTCCTCGCGCAGGAAACGCACAGCTGCTTGTAGGCTCTCTACTTCGGCGCGGAGAGATTCGTTTTCTTGCATTGCTGCCAGTGAGGCCTCGCTGTCGATTACGACGCCATCGCCTGTCGTTTTCACGCCGACTGTACCGGACATGCGCTTCATGCGCTCGAGACGGTTCATGTACTCGTTTCGCTCTGTTTCGGCTGCTTGAAGCTCTTTCTTTTGTCTTTCAATCGTTTCCTCTAGTTCGCTTTCTGCTTCCTGGATTTGCTCGATTCGAGCCTCCAGGTCCTTAACCAAAGCTGCCTTCTTGCTTGCTTCCCGCATCCTTGATTCAAGGTGCTCGATCTTAAGGCATTGCTCTTCAAGGGTGGTGTCTTTCACACCAAGTGCAGCAGATGCCTCATGGATTTCATTCTTCAATCGACGAATCTCTTCATCGGCGTCCGGGGAGATTGTTTTGTTAGACTTCAGCTCCTCGGCACGAGCAATCCAAGGATTAGCGCCTCTCTCAAATTCGGTTGTGCGAGACAAATCCGACGAGATGTGATCCAACTCTTCAAATTGACCGCTTAGGTCACGCAGTTTGCTGAGCAGCAATGAAACCGGGTCATTGCTCTCTTCCGGTGTTTCGGAAGATGAAGCAAACGATGCAGAAGCCTGTGACAAACAATCCAGGATTTCCTCCAAGCTGAAAGCCTCCGTGCGACCTTCATCACTAGTAAGACTGACAATGTTCTCACCGAGTGCCCGAGTAAATTCTGAAAGTTGCTTGGTACTGGTTTCGGCATTCTTGAAGGGCTCATCCGCCTCCTTTGGAAGAGCAAGAGACCTAGACTGCAGATCGTCAAGAGACCGGCTGATTTTGCCCATCGCAACCTTGCACCCGCGAGCCTGAGAAACAAAGGAATCCAGTTTGTTAAGAGCAAACGATTCTTCCTCCCTGCCCTCTTCTGAGGTAACCATTTTAGCCTTGATGATGAGCTTGAGGCGCGCAATCGCAGTGCCGGCATGGTCAAGGTATGACTGAGACAAGTGGGCACGCATACACAATTCATCGGCAAAGATCTCAAGGCTAGAAGGAAGAAGGGTTTCTGCTAGGTGCGCGATAAGAGCGATAGATCGCTGCAATTCCATTGCGAGCTTCGGAAGATTCACTTCGTTCTTCTTCGCGTTCTCGATCCAGAAGTTCAACGTGCGCTCGACTGGTTCCATTTCAAACATTGCGACCTTGATGTTTCCGAATTGTTCGGGAGAACAGGTGGTAATGAATTTCACAAACCGATCACATACATTTGAGATCCACATAAGATGTTCCAGCACCTCGTGGGCCTTGAAAACTTCTTCATGCGCTGAGAGTGCCGAGTTCTCTGAGCCCCGGTCTCGAATGGTGCTGCTGATAATAGTGGCCTTGAATCCAACACGCTTGAAGCGGAGTAAAGCCTGGACAGAGTTCCTTTCACCGTCGAAATACTCTGGCAGATACAATTTGACCATCGAAAGTTGTTGTGCGGCTTCCTCCGACTCCATTCGGCTCAGTTCCATGTCGATAGATTTGGTTTGAGCTTTCGATGCAGAAGCTTGCAACTTCATATTTAGATCCATCATGGCCCGGGACCGTGTGGTGAGATCGGTGGCCTCCGCCTCGGAGATCTGTTGGGTTGCCCGCATGTCTTCCAAGTCAGTCTGTAGGTTCGTCACCAACTCCCTGAAGCGAGACAGCGTGTATTCAAGATCTTCAATGACCTCGTCCTGCTGGTTAAGTTTTCGGCATTGCTCGCCGAAAACGCCTTCCCGGTAGTCAATCTCTTCCTGGAGTTGTTTCTCGGTTTCGATATGGGTGTACTCCATTTCATCACTGATCTCCTTGAGAGATTCTAAATCCTCAATGGCAGCTTTGAGCTCGTTAATCTCTTCCTGGTAGCGCATGTTCTTGTCTGCCAGCTCTTCGATCATTTCTTCGGCGCCCAGCGCAGTTTCCAGCTGCTGCTTGAGATCCTCCACATTGGTCTCTAGGACCAAAAGCTTCTCTTTTGCCGCCTCATAATCAGATTTGACAGCGGAGTATTCCTCGAGGTCCTCTTCCAGTTCCTTGATCTGGGCCTTGAGGTCTGATTCCTGCTGTTGAGTCATATCTCGCAAACGGATGAGAGCTTCACGAAGACGTTCATTGGTTTTCTCCATCTGGAGCCATCCATGACTGGATCTCTCCTCTGGACTTGTAACCTGGCTAAACTCTTCGTTCTCCTCTCGGAGAACCTCCACCTCTAGACTAAGCTCTTCCATCTTTGATCGAAGTGCTTCACACTCGTGTTTGAAGGCCTCGGCTGTCTCCTCCGCCATTTCGCGGTCAAGGGCAGCCATTTCCATGAGTGATTCATGCTCTGCCTGGATTCGATCTAATTCATCAAAGCGAGCCTCGGTGTCTTTGAGCTTTTTGCGAAGTTCCGTAACCTCCATTTGCTGCGGTTGATATTTGGCCTGCAGCTTCTGAATGATCGATTCGAACTTATCGCGTTCAGTCCGAATTTGTTCCAGGGTCTTGAGTTTCTCCCTATCCTCGACCCGTTTCTTCTCCATCTGATTAAGCTTCAGCTGGAGCTCCTCGATTTCTCGGTTCACTGCAGCATTCGAAACTTGACGTTGCGACGTAGATACCGGAGCTCCAGGGCGTGTGGTCGCTGGACGAGTGGCAGTCATCGACTGTCGAGAGGTCTTGGGCGCCAGTCCTCCACTTGGCGCAGCCTCCCCTTCAGTGCCAGGTGACTCAAGGTCGGTTGTGTTCCCGGATTGCCCACCTGCACGGCTGTTTCTTCCATCGGATTCCTTTGTGGCGCCAACCTGCCTTGATGTAGTAGTAACCTTTGACGCCGAAGGGCCTGTTGTGCGTATCGTAGTTTGCGAGCTTGGCCGTGAGGTCCGGGCTGCTGGCCCAGATACTGACGGTCGCGCAGTTTTGGTGGCATTTAGTGCTGCAGAAGAACCTATAGAGCTTCTGGCTGTGGTGGTTCCTCGGGGTCGGGTCGTTCCCACAGTAGAAGTGCGTGGAGTAGGGGTAGTCCCGATTGAAGGGCGGGAAGAAGCAGTGGCTCCTAGTTGTTTCGTCGGGGACTTCGTGGGCGACTAAAACGATGCAACTGGTTAGCAAACTGGATGTTGCAAGCCACTATGGGCCATGACATACTCTCAGAGATGGGCGAGCTGCAGCACCCCTCGGCGCTGGTGTAGGAGTAGAGTTTGTGCTGGTGCTTTGTCGCCTTACTGCTGTGGGAGGCAATCCAGGTTGTTTGCGCAAACCAGCTGAGAGTCCGGCTTGAGGCGCTTTGCTGCCGGCCGCGCTGGCAGCCGGTTTGGCGGTTTGTTTACTCTCCCGCACAGGTTGTCGTTGGATGACCTTTCCGACGATTGATGGTCGAACAAACATGCCGTACCCTGGCTCGCAATTGAAGTATCGTTCTCCTTGTACTGCACCATCATTCTTTCCGGTCGCATCATCCAATTCAAGACCTATCCATTCTCCTTCCGCAAAGTGGGTAGTACCGATGAAGCGCACCGTCGCTTGTCGTCCATTGGCCAACTCGACCACCGAGCCTACAATCATGTCTTGCCCGGACATCGTGGATGGTTTCAAGAGCCACAGTGAGCTCTTGAGCGATAGCCGGTGGTGTTTGCTGATGTTGAAAGAGAAGGGAACACGGAGTCAGGAGTCCATTTGACGCGCTCCGCTGATCTACGTCTGCCTGAGGCAGCAATTGATACTTGAACTTGACTTGGCTGCACAAAGAACTGGAAAGGGTCCCTGAATTGTTTCTCTATCATTGGGTTGAGATGTAGTTCTACTACACACAACTGCCAGTCTCGTATTTATGTAAGTTTAAGCAGTATCCGTAATCATATGCTTGGGCATTCATAGTCGTAAACCAAAGTCTAACAAAAGGAACAAATAATCGCGCTCTAGTCTAAGCAGTATCGCTTTGCTGTTTAAAGACGTGTGGGAAATGAACCCGTAGCTCTTCGAGGCTGGAGATCACATACTTCGATGCCGGGTTGGATGGTATGGGAAGCCCTGGTTCCACCAAGTGAGCCGTAGTCCAGCCCCGAGCGGTCGAATGGACACAATTCAAATGGGAGTCGTCTGCATTTTCTTGTTAGTTAGGTGCCCAAAGACGGAATAGAGGTGTACAAGCGACATACCAACGAAATAGCACCCTTCTGTGGTAGGAGCGCCAGCTTCCTTCTCCGCCTTAGCGTACATATCCTGGCTTGGCTTGCAAACTAATGGCAGTTGCCCGTAGTCACAATAGGTAATACCCTCAAAGAGATCCTCGACACCGAGCAGCTTTATCACCCGTTTCGCGTGGTTGACATAGGCGTTCGTGAGCAACCATGGTTTCACCTTGGTTGTGTCCAGGTCTTCGAGCAGTTTGCGCAACTTGGGATCGGGCTTGAGAATAGCATCAAGAGGTAAAGCGTCGTCAACTTCGTAGTTGAATGCAAGCGGGTCGATCTTATGGTGGCGGGTGAGGCCCTCAATGGCTAGTCCATACTCTTTGTAGTATTTCTGGTGCAGCATGTGGGCATCTTCCGAAGTAAGATCAAGATGTTTCACGAAGAACTTATCTAATAAAGGTATCAGGTTAGTGACGAGTATCAGAAAAGTAATTAATGTCCCTTACTGATCAATTTCTGCATTTCATCGTGGATGTTGCAAGCTGCGCGCATATACCAGTCAGTCAGAGCTCCAGTAACCCGAACTAAATAATTCAACCTTTGGAATAGAGCTGTAGAGCAAGCGCGTGGTATTAGCGACCCTAATTCATCAAATTCAACTTTCATTGACTTACACAGTTGTCAATATCGAAGAAGAAGATCGGCCGTGAGTCACCGACTCCATTTGCGCCGTTGGTCGCCATCGATCTAGAATTGCAATAACGCAGAGGCAGAAAGGCAGGATAGACTCTAGAGACAGTCACCGGTCGAGGAACCCGAGGCACAAACAGACGATACATGAAAGAAAGAGAGAGAGAGAAGTGAAGGTCGAAGTAGACCTCCTTATCGCCCCGTGATGTTTACCTAATCGGACTTAGCGCCGGAAAACATCGTGGACTCGCTGCAACTCTTCATTTGCTGCTGTTTTTTTCCAACTCTCGGATCTTCTCTTCTCTGTAGGAACTGAGCCGTGAATATCTCACGTGCTCTGCGTTGGCAGTTGAAGTTATCTGAGACTAGTTTCAGAGCTTCTCAGCCGATTTCTCGGTTTCGACCGTCTCCCTTCCCCCAGGCGCTTCCCTTCAGTCATGGCAGCTCATGGGACAGCAACTCACCTTGCAGCAGGTCCGATGGCAGTTTCAGCACCGCTACCAGGCGATGAGGTACGGGAGTACCAGAAAATCCTGACCATCAGTGATGAAATCTTCTCGGGCTCTCATCCCCGGCTCAAGGTCCCCCAACACCTCGTGCGCAAATCGGGATCGCGCAACGGCCAAACTGTTCCTCTTCGGACTCAGTTACCTAAATCGACACCGTCGAGGATTGCCATGGAGAAGGTACCTTCACTTGAGACCACCAATCAACCTTACAATAGCTCGCACAGTACCCCGGCTGGAAATGCCCTATCTGCAGCCCCACAGTCTGCCCGCGTGACTTCAAAACCTACATCTGAGATCGATCCGATCTTTTTGACCAAGTCGGATGATTTGGTCAGAGCAGAACTACAGTTACAAAGACAGAGAGTGGAGAGACAACTGCGTGATCAACTGGAGTTGAGGAGGATGGAGATCAAGCAGAAAACTGCTGTCCAGGACACGAAGCCCGAGTTTGACGTCTCGGAGGTCTTCAAACAAGCCCTTGAGGTGGTGAAACCTGTCTCGCTGAGCGATTCGTCCGAGGCCAGTGGCCCTGATGGTCCTGCAAGCGACTCTGACAACAATTCCTATTACTCCAGTAGAGCTCCTGATTCGCCTTTGCAGCCCGGCGGGCAACACAAATCTTCCCCTGTGGCTATTGTTCCACCAGCAGGCCCTGCTCAGCATGGCCCAGTAACCCATTATCCAGATGAGTTGCAGCGACTTGAAGCTCTGAACCAGCCGGGATCTGATCAGGAAATGCAAGATGCTTACCATGTTGCTGACCAGCGTCCCACGTATTCTCAGAATCGAACCCGCTACCACGAAGCAGAGGATCCCAACCAATACCGCGAGTCACTCCAGATTGAAACCGCAGATGATTCCGAGTACTCCCCACCTGCTCCAGCGGCGCCCCTGGCAGAAGCTCGCGACTATCCCCGTGAGATAGAAAGTGAAAGACAACTCAGACCAGATGGTAGATACATCGACCGATCCCGTGGCCCCCGCAAGCCTTCATCCCCTGCAAATGTGAGGGTGGTTCAAAACCACATCACATCACCGGCAGCTCCCCGACCATCTCGCGTGTCGCCTCTTGCTACAGCCAAGGTTCCTCCTGTTCAGCAACTTCGCGATGGACGAGTTGAACATGGATCCGATCAAACATACTCAGATCCTGATTCTGCTCGCGGCAGTCCAAACGTACCAGCCAATGTACCAACCCCAGTCATCATGTCTCGCAAACGGCGCAGACTCCGTGAAGGTGGTGAAGAACCCCGCCAGGCTTCTTACAGGACAAGAAATGCAGAACCTGTGGAGACATACATCAAAGAGGAGCCTGTCTCACCGCCACCTTTTGCAGACGACCCTACCACTGTTCGCAGCCGACACCCACAAGAGCGCCCCGTTTACATTGATATCGCGTCTCCGCAATACGCACCAGTGTACGAAGGTCGTGGTCCGCCAATTCGAGAACCGGTGTACGAAGTTGATCCCTATCACGAACTTCCACCGGACTCGGGGCCTCCGCGCGCAATCTCTCGACTCAGCACCAGGCGGCCAATTCGGGAGGATGCAGATCTTCGACGAGTTGCCAGTCTACAGTATGCTCGGCAGTCAGACTATCCTCGTGAGTACATCGAGGCCCAGCCACGTCCAATTCGGGCAGCATCGTATGTTGTGGAACGCCCGGTCCAAGAGCGGCCCAGGTATTACGACGAAGCCCCTTCCTACTCCCAGCACCGTTACATCCCTGTGGATGACATGCCACCACCAACCTATCGGGAGCCGTACTACGAAGAGGCGCCACCGCCACGGGTCATGGCACCTCAGCGTCGGATTGTGTATGATGAGCATGGCAACCAGTACTATGAGATACTCTCAGCACCAAGATACCAGCCAATGGCTCCCCCGCCGCGACCCGTATCTCAAATGTCGAAAGCCAACATCTACGACGACCAAGTTCCCCACCGCACTGCCAGTGTTCGCGCGCCCTCGGTTGTCCAGGATCCATACGTTGAACGCCGCTATGTACAGGAGATGCCCCCGCCCCAGCCAATATACAGGCGAGTCACGTCAGACTATGCTCGTCCCGTTGCTCACGAGAGACAACCCTACGCAGCTCCACTGGATGGCCATGAGCCTTACTCACGCAGCGGCAGCGTTCAAGTAGAGTACCTCCCCCCTCGCCACCCAGCTTACCTCGATGAGCGCGGAGTGCCCCAAGAGAGAGTCATTCGAACAGCCAGTGTTCGTCCTCCACAGCCTCGATATGAGGAGCCGCATGAAGTTGTCCAGCGAGTGGGGAGCGTGCGTCCATCTATCCCGGGTCGTGAGGTCAGTGTTTTCATGGAAGACAGGCCGTTGGGGGAGTATGTCGAGAGACCGTACTACATCCGAGACAGACGGTACTATGACGGTGAAGGCGAAGGGGGAGACCATCTGGCATTGGATGGCGCAAATGATACGGTTCAGCGAGTTCGGCATTATCAGTAGCGTCTTGCGCCCTGAGTTTCTTTGCACGGCATTTCCTGATTTTGTACCTGAATTTGTTCTTGAGCGGCTCGTATCCAAGCAAAAGCAATGCAGACCTTCAATGTCTTAAATCTACTGTTCTGTTAAAGTAGTCTCTAGTCTACGGCTGTCAACGAGACCATTGGTCAATTCAATGGTTCTAGATAGCAACCCCACCAGTCGGAGAAAGTCCGGTACATATAGATGCATATGTAGTTAGAGCAGATATTCTTGGCACTTGTCCTAGTGCTGGTTAGACAAAAGTAGTGAAACATATACATGGGTTTTAGGTTTTTGACAAATTTCAAATTCGATCATCCAGGGTAAACTGTAGTGATATAGTCAACTCAGTGTGTATCTGCAGCATGTAGACTGGCCATGCTTTTATGCAGTTTCTGTGTGTACTTCCGATGGTTTCTAATACTGATGTGCATATATGAAGGTCATTTGGCAATATACGGTGCAATTCTAGCTCAATGAATGTAGCCGATTGTATGAAAAATAGCTGTTTATGCGACTTAAACTCAGATATATATTGTTTCAATGAGATCTTAATAATTGGTATACCTCACGCCCCAGAAGTGTCTTTCCTCATCCGTTATTATTCTGCTAGCTTCATTAAACATCAAACCATACCTAATAGTCAACATTATAGATCCCGGGACTGACGCACTGCGGTCTAGGACACAATCACGTGATGACGGTGGATTGCTCCACAACCTTGGAAGTACACTCCCTGCCCAGAACAAGGCATAGAATTAAATGACCAATCCTGCAGGCAAATATCAAAACTGGCTAAAATGATCGACAAAAAAAAGTACCGAAAAAGTGAAGATAGTGGCGACTGGACTTGAGGCGAGACTATACCCGTAACAGTTGGTCTTCTCCCCTCAAACCTCATTAAACCGGGGGACGGGAGCAAATGCAGTCTGGTTTCAAAACACACGACTCCACGGTCCACCCAGTCGGAATTCATTTCGAGGCGTCAAATGTCTTGACCCACTACGTCTATACGAGGGCATGACGTCGACTACTTGAGGGGTGGTCGATGTGCATCTCTACATGTACAAAGTACAGTAACTTAATACTGTAGCTCAGCACACGCCTACAGGGACCCCTATGGAGACCGGATGCATGACGGAGTGCCCCGAGTCCACAGCCAAAGGTGTCTAGGCATCAGCATCCAAGCTCCACATGCCTCAGTTCCCTCCGGACCAGCCGGTGTATGAAGGTGCCCTATCAGGCCCAAGTGCCAGTGGATCGGGAGTACGGAGGCATACAGGGTTCTTTGTCCCGGAGCCTATGAAAGGATCAACCCGCGTATTACGGAATGACTCGGATCCCGATCTGACCAGTGCCTGAAAACCGGGCTTACACCTGGGCACAGTATGGATATGGCCAATGTCTTGCACAGCCTGGGAGGACGCGCAAGAGGATCAGCCAGTCCTGTCCAGCTGAGCTGTTCCTGTAGGATCACGTGACACTCGCTAGAGTGAGTGCCAAGAAGACCCTTGCGAGTGCCATTCTCTCTCTGCTCTGGCAACCGTTGGGTATTGGGCTGAAATGTAATAATCAAGTAGTGAAGTCGTTGGATACTCAGCTTAATTTGACTGTTGTCACTAGACTTATAGACTTATAGCCAGGTGATAGAGCAAATGTATTGTAGACCCGTACTGGCTTCATTTCTCCATTCTGATTTCTGATTTCTGATCTTATTTGCATTTACTTATTTGTATTTATTCGTATTTCAAGCCTCTTCCACCTGATTTCTATACTATTCCTTTTCTGTTCGGTCTAGAAGGTGTTGGTTGGCCCGATCTTGGTTTCCACCATTCCCGCGAAACGCCCACACTGGCCATTCCCATCCCTGTCGAGAACGGCCTTCTTCCCACTCTCTCTTCCCCCAACCCCCATCCACCCTCTCTGTCCCCTCGACTTGCTCAAGGGGTTAGAGATCTTACCCTGGTCATGCACAAGATCTCCAACTTTACGGGTCAAGCCCGGCATGGTTGGGAACGAATGACGCCGACTTTCGGGATGTCCAGACCTCACACCGACATGGCCTTTCGCCGACCACACGGGGCACCGCCCATGACGCCGCCGACGAGCATCGATCCCACCGTCAATCTGTCCTTCAACGTCCCCTTCTCATCGACCTTGGCCGGTCCCGATGTAGAGGACGTGCTCCACGCCAGTCCCGGCGCTCTCCAGCGCTGGACCTTCCCCGAAGGCACCCCAGAAGGCACATCGGTGCACCAGCTCCCTGTCCATATGAACAACGTCGAAGGTCTGCAGAGGCTATGCCGGAAGATCACGGAGGAAAAAGGAGGCCGAGTGGAAGCAACGCTTACGACCTCCGAGGCCAAAGCTGTGCCCTCGCTACAACGCCGACCAAACGGCTTGGTGACCAACGTGTGTGTCACCGGAGATGGGGAAATGGCGCGCAAGATGCGTGCAAGAATCTTGAACGAGACCCCAATCATGCTGGTACGTGGATGATTTTTTTTTTTTTTTTTTTTTTTTTTTTTTGGTTGCGGCACTGGCAAGATTTTCAGCTCCACAGACATCCTTGCTAACTAGCCATGGAACAGCGATGTGCGACTGTCGACGTGGATATGCATCTTATTGTGGATGGATCACCCAAGGGTATCCGAGCTAGTGTCCTCGAGCACATGGACACCTTGGCTGCCTACACCGGGGCCGACATTTTCCTGCTCACACCCAAACTCCACGATGCGGACAGTGCTGTAGTTTCTTCCTATGGATATGCGTCGGATAATGGACTGGACCAGCGCTTCCGAGTCGCTATATACGGTGATTTGGAGAGCTCGGAACATGCCAAAACCCGGGTGCTGATCATGATCGATCAAATTGTACGTCTTGTGTGTGGGAATCCTGAGGTCGACAAGCTAACTGGAGAATAGCTCAAACGCCATGTGGACGCCATTAAACTGGACTCGACTATGCACACTTTGGTTTGCGGTCGTACTCGCAAGAACATTAAGCTTATTGAAGCTGCTACCGGCACCGCTATTTACTTCCCTCCCCCTTCCCCCAGATCTTCGGTTATATACCTCCCGGTGCGAATCGTCGAAGCGAGGACGAGGTCTATATTACTGGCGAGACGCCAGAGCAAATTGCTCGTGCGAAGCAGAAACTGCGGGAGCTGGTGATGGGAGTGAAGATTTTTGTCAAGGATGTGGTTGTCAGCTCAAGCAAGATCGACAACATCCTGCTCGACCGTCTGGACAAGGTCCGCAAAGTCATGGAGATGAACGGGTCTTACGTTTTGTTCCCTCAACTGGGCAGCCAGCGTGGACTTGTTCGGATCCAAGGCACTGAGGTGTTGCACGTCGAGCGGACCGTCAGAGAGATTATGGCCTTGGTGCGTGATGCCACAACATTGGAGTGGAACTTGCTAATATTTGTCTAGGCTGGTCAATTCTACTCTGCCTCATGGTGGATCATCATGCCGGACCCCGCGCAAGGTGGTCTCCGTGCTCCATCGACAGCCGACATCCGCTCCATGCTATCGGATATCTGTACGAACTCCGAAGCGGAGGTCAGCTTTGACAACCTGACCTTTACGATCAACGGTTCCGATGATGCAGTCAAGGCTGCCATGACGGTCATCAACCAGATTCCCTTCGTGATGCGCAGCCAATACCAGATGCGTGTGAAGATTGAGCTGGCCAACGAGCACAAGGAGTTTGTCAGCGGCAAGAAGAACGGCAAGATTAACAAGATCATGGGACAGAGTGAGTACTCTCAGGAATGTACATATGGAGTGTGTTGCTAACTCGCATACAGGCAACGTCCAGATCATCTTTGACGGTTTCAACGAGTACAACTTCTACATTGACGTGTGCGGCAACCAGTACGAGTCGACTAAGAACGGCTTGGATCTGGTGGAGCAGGAGATGCCTGCTTCCATTTCCTTCCATGTGCCGGACCAGTACCACAAGCGGATCATCGGAATTGGTGGACAGCATATCCAGCGCATCATGAAGAAGTACTCTGTCTTCGTGAAGTTCTCCAACGCCATGGACCGTGGTGGTATGGGCAAGGAAGATGATGACATCAAGGTTGACAACGTTATCTGCCGGACCCCTGCTCGCAACGCCCAGAGCCTGGACCTTGTCAAGCAGGAGATCATGGATATGGTCGAGAAGGTTGATGCCGAATACGTCTCCGAGAGAGTCGTTATCAACCGTCTGTACCACCGTGAGCTGTTGGCCCGCATGACTGAGATCGACGAGCTGGAGAAGAAATGGAACTGCAAGATCGAATTTCCGAGCACCGAGCTTGCCAGCGACGTGGTGACCATCTCCGGCCCCGAGTATCAGGTCCCTCAAGCGGTCGATGCTCTGCTTGGCATGGTACCAGAGAGCCACGAACTTCACTTCCAGAGCTCGGTGGAACTTCGTGACTACTTCAAGTCCGTAGACTTCATTGCCGATGTTCGGACCAAGCTCAAGGAACAATACGAGGTTGATATCAACGTTGATGTTGGTGCTGATCTGCCTACTACTCCTGAGGAAGAAGGCTCCTCTTCGCCCACCCCCGGACCCGAGGACCGCGTCGTCCTCGGCTACACGCGTAACAACGCTGGTGGCCTGAAGGATGCCATCGACTTCTTGATCTCCCGTCTGGTTGGTCACGGACTCGATGCCAACACCGTCAAGGGTGCGATCCCTCGGCCCAAATCCGACTCGTTCGAAGAGTCTCTGCCCTTCTTCGACTCGAAGCTCCTGCAACACGCCCCGGCGCCCCTCTCGACCGACTCGCCAACCCGCCCCAACTTCTCCGATGAGACTAGCGAGCGAGGCTCGATCTTCGAGCGCCTCCGCAAACCTGGAAGTATCTCGTCGTTCTCCTCGTTCATCGGCCGCAAGAACCACTCCGCCTCCCCGGGATCGTTCTTCAAACACGCCTCGAGCAATGCCTCCAAGGCCTCGCTCGTCTCCATGGAGTCTCGCGAC